TCTGGTCGAATCTCTCTGTGAATTAAAAGGCTTTATGAAATCCGCTGCTAAAGTGCCCCGCAGGTTTTGTTGAGGGGTGCTGAGCATCAAACTCCATCAGGACAGTCTGATTTGGCAATGTTTTGCTCTTACATAAGATACAGCTGTACCAAAAACAGTATTTAGACACTTAACTCACACTAAAATGTCATTGTGTTAGATAACGAAATATCAAAGCAAAGCATTCATGATATCATGAAAATATAATGTTTAAAAGAACAACAAAAACAGTTCTATATGACTGTAGTATACGACTTAGTCCAAGGTGTAAACATGGTGATGATATAGTAATATTCGCTCCGCTTGAGAGAAAAAAAAACACTATATGAAAAATTTAAGAAAGAACTCCATAAACTACATTTTTGTGTGTCCATTATTTTTCTTATTTATGGAGTTGTGATGCCTTTGAATTGATCTATTTCATTGAATTTAACATGAATGACAGATCCTTCGGTACAAGGTTTTACAATATTTTTGATGGTATGGTTATTTAAGACAGTTGTATTTTCAATCATTTTAAACTGCATTTTGCTCATTCTTTCATATTTATCAGCTATGCATGGGCTTATATTAATTGAAAGGCTACATGGAATATTTGTAATTTGTCACACAACAGGACCATTTGAAATGAACTATACTGATCAGTTTAGTTGTGAGTGATGATATTTCTGGTCTCATTCAAACCAGAACATAGATGTAAAGTTATAAGATTTGACTTTTCAGATACAATTTTTTCCCCAAGTGTTAAAAGAGGCATTTGTTAAATTTGAAACTTGGCCGGTAGATTTGTAAGAAACGTAAAAAAATGCTACAATTATTTTTACTCTTGCAAACTAGTCTCAAACACAGTTTATCTGTGTTCTTTTGGTCATATGGTGAAACACAAACCAGCTGCATTTGCCTGGTTCTCAACAGCAACTGTAAACAGCCAGAGAGAGAGATGAAATAAGTGAAAATATAGATAGAATTATATTGATAGAATCACAGTTCTGATCTTGATCAAATGATTCACGATCCACACTCCAAACATTTCAGAAAAGGACTTCAAATCATTTGATTGGAGCGTGCATCTTTTTTTCTGGTTTATTTTTTTAATAAACAGTACAAACATCAAACCATTACAACAGCATAGCTGGAAAACAAAACAATGAAAAATAAATAAATAAAATAATACACAAATAAAAATCCCTTAATTAAATTGTTTTATTCTAGTAAAAGTGTAATAACCATGTTTTTTAAGCACAGATTTACTACAAATGGTTCAACTGTGGCTAGTGTAATAAAACCATGAAGCATGTAACAAGACCATGTTTAATCTGTGGTTATGGACTATAACCATGTTCTTTTTTTTTTTTTTTTACATTGAGAGGACACATAAATATGCGTTAGGATGTATAGAACTTTGAATAGTTTCCATGTAGCCTAATTGTCTAGATAATCTTTGAGTAGCCTATAAAAAAGGTTCAGAGACAGATTTTTGTCTATGCATGTGAAATTTAGCTAGCAGGAAACACAAATTAATGAAGCTATAATTTCCTATATTCTCTTTTGAGTAGTCGAACAATCCAAAGAAAACATCTTTAAAACAGAGCGAAAATCAAACACGCGCCCTTGTAAATGATCATATCTGCTGATTCATAAAGTGCTTTGTGTTTCTGATTAATTTGGTGAAACAGTAATCTATAATTAAATACAGTTTAAACAGTTACTTTTAGTGATGGGAGAAACAACTGATTTGCAAAATGATTCACGGTGTAGCTAAATTCAACGAAAAATCAGCCCAAATATAAATAAAACACGCTTTTTAGAAACCAGTCGTAAATGTTTTCTTGAAAATGCCTTCTACAAATCATAAAATACCATTAAACTTGCAGTGTGTATAATATGTTTCAATATTTTAGAGCTGGGTTTACAGAAGGTTTCATGCCAATAACAATCAATCAACTACTACTCTTTGTTTTTTATTATACAAGTGTGCCATTAAAATGTCTACATTATAAAAACGGATCCGAGTTCAGTGCGAATTCAAATTCAATTTAGAAGCCTTTTGAAACATTTATGACGCCACAAAGCGTCCTTTATTGAAATCACGTGACTTTGGCAATTTTTGGAATGTTTTTTTCACAAAGCTTTCGAATCTTCCAAAGCGCTCATTTGTTATGCATATGTTATGGCAGATGGCATCATATATCTGTGACAACATGCCCCGCTTTGTGTGTTAAATGAAATGTTCAATAGTTTTTAACCACATCTTCATCACTGGAAACGCAATCTACAAATCATCTAATACCATTGACATGTAGTGCCTAATGTAGCCAGCCTATGTTTTGTTACTATTTTTGGGATTTGATTTGTGCGAACAGCTGATCTTCTTTTTTTATTACATTTTCATTTATTACATTAACGCCTCTAAATTATAAATCTGACGCGATCAGTGCGAACAACGCACACTTCGAGACGTTACGTCGCTTCGTTTACTGATATCACAGGGTTTGAGGAATAATTGATTCCGAACAAAAGACTCACAAAGGTTTACTGCTTCTGCTTCTCACCTAGCAGGTTCAGTCTGGTGTTTATAAGCAGGAAGCTTAAGAAAAAAAGCGATACACGTGTCAGTTTAAACGCAAGGTCAGTCTCAGGACAGTCTTCATCATGAAGCTCTTGTTGTTGGATGCTGGTTCACCACAGTAAGAAATCCAGGACAGGCCCATAGAGACCCTTCCTTCACCCTGAAGACCCCATCATCACCTTGCTTTTAGTGTAGTATGACCTTTTATTGAACCTTGCACGTCAATTTCATGTGCTCTTGTGTGTGTGTGTTGTACAGGTTTGGTATTAAATGTTTTGGCAAACAGTTTCAAAAGAAGCCTTGAGGCCATGCTACAAGCCACGCAGCGCTTGTATGGACGTAAACAAACATGTACATACAGTGTGTGTGTGTGTGTGTGTGTGTGTTTGGGGGGTTCTTCATGTAAGTAAACAATGCCGGTCTTAACTCTCTGAAACGATTAATGGTCACTGCAAATTACTCATTTTGGCACGACTGACCTACTTGTGTGTATGACCTCAAATGATAATGAATATTTAAAATGATTTTGTAAAGTCCATTTGCATTGCAGTACTTGAAAAAAAGATACGTTTTTACATTTTTTATTTTTTGTCATACTTCTTCAAAACATGCTCCTGCTTGATTGTTAAAAATAATACAAACACACACACACACAGGTTTGTTTTTATGGTTTGTGGGGACTCTCCATAGGCGTAATGGTTGTTATACTGTACAGACCGTATATTCTATTGTCCTACACCAACCCTACCCCTAAACCTACCCCTCACAGGAAACTTTCTGCATTTTTAGATTTTCAAAAAAACTCATTCTGAATTATTTATAAGCCTTTTGAATTACGGGGACACTGAAAATGTCCTCATAAAGCACCTTCTCGTTGTAATACCTATGTCATACCCATGTTATTATACAAATTTGTGTCCTCATAAACCACATAAACATGCACACACACACACACACACACACACACACACACATGTATGTATAGCCATGTATGTAACTCATCATATAATTATTTAACCTACAGGATGGATTCGATTAAAAAGCGCTTGAAAAACAGACCAATTTATAAGCGCCTGGAGAATGAAAACAAGCTCGTATAGCAACGATTGTGTTTTCTTACTCGTAACATTTCTTTATTTTTCTTAGCATTTTCTGTGTTTATGGGAAAGGAAAGGCTTTGATAAATAAAAAGCATGAAAAATTAAATCTTGAACGGTTGTAAACAGCTCGACAACTAGCTGGAAATCATTTAGCCTCTTAGTGATGCTTTAATTATGTTGAAAATATCAGAAATCAAAATAAACTATAATTTGATAAAACAATATTACTGAAACATCCCGTCGTTTTTATAATAATAATTCATTATAAATAACAAGACAATAAATGTACGTGAATATACGTGAGCTGTTTATAACTCGATAAAGCTTGATTATTAAGAAGTCAGTTGAAAAGTGGGCAGTAGCTACTTATAGCTATAAAACCACAACATGAGTTATTGTTTGGGCTGCAAAACAGTTTTCATAAATTCAACAAATATATATTTTTCATTCATTATAAAATTACTGCGGTAATGGGAGAACACTATCGTCGGACGCAGTGAAAATATGCAATATTTAGAAAATAAAAATGTATGTGCACATATAAAAAAGCATGAATTATTATAACATGAATTGTTGATGTTGAATAAAAATACATTTAAAATGGTATTCTTTTGCTTTGCATATTTTAGCCATTTCACAATATCTTAAAAACGGATTCATTATTTATTTTTTCCTTTTGTTTTATGCGCATTCGATGTTTCTTTAATAATATAAAATAAAGTGTTGTATTGGTGTGGACATCCCTAACATACACAGTTTATGCGTTAAATCAAATCATTTCTCAGTCGGCAACGCTGCAACAGCAACAGATGCAAACAGCCTTCAAACAAGAAAACGACAATAAAAGATTGTTTCTTGGTTCCGAAATCATACATTTATTTAACAAAGATATTTATGATATTTAACAAAGATATTCATTTATTTTCAAATAATAAAGTGTGAATTGGGGGGGGGGGGGGGGGGGGGGGGGACATTTATTTCAGAATGCAAAATGCGTAATTTAAAAATAAAAAAGCTATTTTAGATTAAACGCATAATTAAGATTATTCTGATGCAACTTGAGCAAAATTTCATACTAACTGATCGATAAAAAAATACAAGGAAACAACAGTGCGACTAGACTGTTATGATGTTCCCCGGTCACTTCCCACCGCGCAAACATGCTGTTTGAGATGACTGAACGCAGCGCACTGGAATTACACTGCTTTATATATTTCAATGACTAAAAACGACATAAATTAGACCTTCAAAGTGTCAACATAACTTCTGCACTCAGTGGAACTCAGTGGATTTGTGACCCGCGCTGACACTAGAGGCGCCCTTGGCTCAGCCTGTGCGCTTTTACGCACAGCATTATTATTCATTATTATTCTTGGAAAGCCTACTAATCAATAGATCCGCACTGGTTGTAATATACAACACTGTATCGGATCAGGCAGGGTATTATGCACGCTTTAGGGCCCTGTTATTTAACACAACTAATCCGAATCCCCTCGAAGTATTATTAAGACACTTTGAGAGTGCCACTTTGATTCAACATCACGAATGCTTTAGTTCTGGATCATTTAAACTTTATTTCAGTGCGTTTCAGGTAATGTGTGCACAATTATTAGTCCCTCCTATTCAGGCTGCGTGATCGGTGACGCACAGGAGACTCTCCAGACTCCAGCGCGCACGGGGTTCTCCGCGCATTATGATGGAGTGAGCCGAGACTGTACTGTCCAGCTTCCAACAAGAGAAGAGCTCCTCCTCCCTCCCCTGAGATGAGGTAGTTGGTAAGACCGAGCGCTGGTTAATCACCAATTTCTCGCATCGCGTCGCGTCCTCCGTCTCGAAAGTCCTGTCATGTATGCAGCGTCCCCACCGTTGCGCGCCTGACCTCCTGGGTTTTCAACCACGACTTTTGTGTGTCCATCGCCCGGTATGGAAGATCAGAGTGAGCCGACCATGGTGCAGAAGTCGACATCGTTCAGCATCAAGAGCCTGTTACTCCCATCGAAGTTTGACAATGAGGGCGCGGTGCGCAGCGGCAGCCCGGCAGCACCGGACTTGGACAAACCCCTGGAAGCGTCCGAGATGGACTCCGCGCAGCGAGACGCGGAGGAACAGCCGTCTAAAAAGGGAAAGAAATTCGACAAGCCTCCGTTCAGCTACAACGCGCTCATCATGATGGCCATCAGACAGAGTCCTGAGAAGCGGCTCACGCTCAACGGCATCTACGAGTTCATCATGAAGAACTTTCCGTATTACCGGGAGCACAAGCAGGGCTGGCAGAACTCCATCCGGCACAATCTGAGCCTCAATAAATGTTTCGTGAAGGTCCCGCGGCATTATGACGATCCTGGGAAAGGGAACTACTGGATGTTGGATCCCTCCAGCGATGATGTGTTTATCGGCGGAACTACCGGGAAGCTCCGCCGGCGCTCGGCGACCTCGCGGGGCAAGCTGGTGATGAAAAGGGGCCTCCGCTTCACGCCCCTCGGTCTCGGACTTGGCGAACGCCCGAGCAACCCGCTTTATTGGCAGCTGTCTCCGTTTTTACCCATGCACCATTCGCACTATAACGGCTCCACGCACGGATTTCTAAACCAGGGACACGCGTACGGATCGTTACTCTCCGGCGTGGAGCCGCTCGGGAACGGGGACATGTCTCGCCACATTCTGGGAGCCTCTAGCGGGAGTATCAACGGGTACGGTGTGTCTCCGCCGTCCGCCGCCGGATTACTTTCAGGTCACAATGGATACTTCGTACCGGGTGCGCAGCAGCCGCAGCCGCTCCCGAGTGCTCCGGGATACGGCATCTCCAGCTCTCCGTCCCCGCTGCTGTCGGATTCCCTAAGAACTAGCTTACCGTCCTTCACAGCACCACTTTCTAGCGGACTTCTGTCTCAACACAAACGCGTCGCGCCCAATTCGTTCCTAAGCTGAGCGTTGCGCGTCCTCTCCAATGGGAACATCCACACTTTCCTAGAAAACCTCGAAATGTGCAAGCTGTCCTTTTGTGTGAGGACTGTGCGTCTGGAATTATTATTTTTTTGTTTGTTTGTTTTTGTCTATTTAAGTTTATTTTGTAGAAGTAGTGTGATGTTATGCCAAAGGCAATAACAGTGCGTGTTTGTTTTTCTTTCTTTTTTTTCCAAAAAAAAGTGTTATTTATAGTACTTCTTTGTGAATGATGGTTTTGTATTTATTCGAAATGTTTTTTATCCCTTGTTACTGTGGGATACCGTTATTATTAGATGTTTAGCACATATTATTCGTTTAGTATGACTAATTCCTTTTTTATTTATGTCTCAAACTGTGAATGCGCCTTAATATCTTAAATCAGGGTTGAGCGTTCGGACCGTCTCAGGTGTGCGTTCTGACAATGAAACATTATTATTATTGTTATTAGCTGTGTAAACCTGAAATATGGTAACATATACATCTATATGCAATGTTTTATGAATTTGCCTATCGGTTAATGTGGGCCCGTGTTCAGAGAGGTCATGTAATGACTTACTAGTAAAGCTAAGCTACTGAATTAAAGCACTGGTTTAAATGAACTCTGTGTGGGATCAGTTTATATATGTACATACTGTCACGTAAAATGCTGTTTTGTGACGACACAAGGGTTTTGTTTACACACATAACAGTATTTTAACAGTATTTTATTTACAGTTTTTACGCGTGGAGGTGATTCAGCACCAAAGACAGATCATTAATGCTTTGTTTGAAATATAAAATCCGTGCACATTCATTTGCTATTATGACATTCTAAAGCCATTATTTCAACTCTCTGTGCAAATCAGAAATGTGATTTCTAGAGCGGTTTAGTTCCCTTTTAACCAACATGTGATTTATAGTTCTACACCTTTAGTTGTCATAGTCTTTTAACGTGCAGATTTGTACTAGTTTTTTTTCTTGTATATATGCCTGAACTTCCGTTCAGAACAAAGAAATAAAGTATTGGAATATTTATGTATGAATGCAAACGCGTCCTTTCTAGTCATGCAACACAAATCCGCTTTTTGTGTGAACAAAGACTCACCAGCTCGAGGGATTCAGCTTCACGCACGCAGATTAATCTCAATGCATTCACCTGCATGCTATGCATTTAAGTTATGCATGCTAGAAATGTTAAATATAGCCTACTGCTGGAATATTTTCGTCGTACAACACATAATTTTCATTATTGCGTCACTGATATAGGCCTAGTTCATGCACACACACACACACACACACACACACACACAGGTTTGTTTTTATGGTTTATGGGGCCTCTCCATAGGCGTAATGGTTGTTATACTGTACAGACCGTATATTCTATTGCCCTACACCAACCCTACCCCTAAACCTACCCCTCACAGGAGACTTTCTGCATTTTTAGATTTTCAAAAAACTCATTCTGAATTATTTATAAGCCTTTTGAAAAGTGGGGACACTGAAAATGTCCTCATAAATCACCTTCTCCTTGTAATACATATATATATATATATATTCACCAATTATAATATGCGTAAAGTCTATACAGCGCCATCGAGTCAATCCAGACAAAAAAACTATAATAACGAAACCACAATATTCACTTCACGAACTAATGCATTGTTTTCACGTGCACAAATGAATAATAATTATAGTAATACAGTTAAGAAATAACTGAGCCTTTACGCAAACATTCAGCGAAATCGGTTCACGAGTCATTCTGACCCATTTCCAATAGAAATAATGCTAAACTTACTGTCCAGATGTTCCTGAAACTTCAGCTCCACGTGTCCCGGATCAAGCAGAAGTGAAACACTCAGTGAGGCACAGACAATATGAAGTCCAAAAAACTCCAGACGCCTTCAGAGGAGCAGGAGCGACATTAATGTGCTCGGACAGACGTTCAGAGGGAGGGACGCACGGACAAAGATGCGCAATTCACAGCTCTGTTACTTTATAAAACAATTCCTGCACTTTATTTACTGTAGAGACTGGAATATTACATAATACGTGACCAAAAATAAAGCCACTGCTAGTTCTAAAAACAGTCTGTTATTAAAAACAAGTTTTGGCGTGTCAAAATAATTGATTTGAATTAAGAGGTAATAGGTTCGTATACGTATTTTGCCATCCACTAACACTTCTTTATATACGATGATGCTGTGTAAATTAGTGTGTAGCCTACAGTAAAATAATAATAATGAATAATTTATTTAATAAAAATTTTACAAAACTTGATTCGGAGCCAAATGAGACTTTGATCGCCTATACAACAATCATTTTAATGACTTCTAACCTATATTTAAGATCTAGAGCTAAATTAGGCTTTGCCAATGAATTTGTCTGTCTTTTTACTAAGTTTCACTGTTTAAATTACATCAAGGCCATTCATCCATTCATTAATTTATTTTACATTAACCTGAAGCATTAAGAAGCTTATAGCCTATAACAGCAGACCAAAGGAAGAAACATGTTAACTCATCAATTTTAAAATAAATAAAACATCGAATTATTAACAGTTTTACGTATCTTCTGATTTATATAAAAAAATGAGGCTTTGCCAATAGCAAATACTATTTTTTTTTACTGTTCAGATTCAAGGCCCGTTTATACGTGTGTGTGTTTATTTATTTTATATTAATCTGAAGTATAAGCAGGCTAATAAATTAAACAGCTGACCATCAAAGGACGTAACGTGTTAATTCATTAGTTTCACCTCCTAGATAAATAAATAATTAAAATACGGCCGCTATGCACAAAAAAAAACAAAACCCTGTTTTAAGCATTTAGGTCTTAAATGCAACAGGGCCTTGATCTTCAAATACAAACCGTAAAATAGTACAGCAATATAGGCCTATAGGACTATAAATAAATAAAAAATAGCATGCAACACATTTTTTTTCTTTTAAGCTACAAGAAGATTCAATTCGTTTATGGAGAACCAAAGTAGCCTATACTGTAATATACTCAAAAAAACAAACAACAAAAAAAAGAAAAGTCAGATTCTCCGCGTGCGCTCAGTTTTAATTCAAAGTTGCACAAATTAGTACAGTAACACTTAACACAAGATTCAGCTCAACTACAACGTTTGTTTTGAAAAAAAAAAAAAATATATATATATGTAAATCTGGGCCTATACGCGTTTATTGGTTCTTCGTGAAACATCAAAATCTTCATTTCTGCCACAATAGAAACATTTGTAATTTGTAACCCAACTAATGATTTGATCACAGGAAGTCGAGGATGGTCTTTGATGTGAGCTTTTGGTTCATTCTGAAGATCCGCTGCTCTTTTGTCAAGTGTCTGGAAGCGTCTCTGCTCAAGTGGAAGAGTTTTTCTGCGTGTCTGTATGAAGGTAAGACCCTTCGGAGAGCTCCTTTGACAAAAGAAGGGTCTTAAGGCCTCTTTTTCAGGTCACTGGAGACAAAACCGCTCTTAATTTGCAAAACTCTTTCCTCTAAGCACAGAAAAGGGCATTATGGGTCGGTTAGGGATCAACACACCTGCTGAATGCCTTATTCTTTGTCAGCAGCTCTGGTGTTTGTATGGAAATAAACACATCATGATCCACTATAAGGTAACGTTTCACTGATATTCCCCGAAGACAGGGACGATATTCACAAAACAGACAAAAGCTGTCTAAACATGTCCGACACAATACATCCACATCAGCTCTGAACACACTCATCTCAGTCTGTTTATTCAGTTCACATTTATTGGCATCACTGTGTAATAAAAGCTAGACAAAAGAAAAAAAAAAGATTCACTGTAAGTATAATTACATTTATTAAAAATCTACAGTAAAAATCTGACATTAACAGTATTTGACAAAAGACGAACATTACTAAATCAATGTTATGCAATAAATGAAAAGTAACAGGTTAAGTGGAAATACAACACTCAAAACTATGTTTCAAATCAAGGACAAAATGGCATGTTGTGGTAAAACGAATGTGTGTGTGTGTGTGTGACACAAAGTAAAATGTACTTTATTTTTAGTGGAACAACATGTAGATAAAATGTTAGAGTTACAGGTTTTATCTCTTGTACAATGTATATGTTTTATTTAAAAATGTTTGTCATAAAAAACAAAAAAACATTTTACTGAAAAGAATGATTCATTGAATTTACAAACATTTTTTAAGGTAAGTGGTTGCAATCAATTTATTTCAGCTACATTTAAATAAACAAATTTTGCTGAAAGTTAGTTTATTTAAATGTAGCTCAAATAAATTGATTGCAACCACTTACCTTAAAAATGTTAGTAGCCTATCATTTTTTTCAGTGTAGCAGATACTGTATATTGCTACCAATGAAAACAGCATTTGGACAAAAAATTAGTTAATTAATTAAAAATATGATACTAAAAACACTCAAATATTCTCTGTTTTTAATTGGTGCTTCAATAATAATATATATTCCTATAATGTCATAATGGCTTGTGTTTTTAATAGAATGCAGATCAAACAGTTTACATTTACAGACTAGATAAAATTTTCCTTTCACTACAACTGAAAAAAGTGCATAGAATTTTTCAACAAAACCAACACAGGGAACATGCAAAATATACCTTTGCACAAAAAAAAAAATCCTAAAAGTTACTACAGCACAATCAAAATGTCAAGTTTTAATGGGGAAAACATCATAGATGATTAGATTTTTACCTCTGCTTGAAAGCATGCAATTTTAAAGTTTCAAAATTGAACGATTTCTCTTTTTTTGGCAAAGCAATGAGGCATAACGTTCACATTATTTAACTTATTTCCAGAGAGCTCCAGCATTATGACGTGACGCATGCAGTACATACAATCCGCAACGTAAACAGACGCCATTTACTATAGAGTGCCTATATTGCTGGAAGCCATGTTGTGAGTCATTCAAGCATGACGTGTGCATGGAGACTCCAGAGAAAAGGACCAAGACCTTGGCTTTGTGGATGTCAGCTTATTTAACTCCAACACGTTCAGGCCACGCTCTGTTACCCAGCCACTAAAGCTCTTCATGTTCCCCTGAACTACTGGACTCCCTCCACACGCCAACACGTCCTCTGTTATAGTTCTGCAAGAAGACTTAGACCCTTCCAGGTTAAGCATTC